AGTGAGTATGGTTTAGCGCCGCTTTTGGCAAAATTCCAGCAATATCACGGCGGGGGACACCAGAAATTGGCTCCACACATTGTACCCATGTCGGGAATCGAACCCGGGTCTTCGACGTGACGAGCGAACGCTTTAACCACTGGGCTACCCGACCGTCCGTAACCTGTGTCATGTCTATTGTACGTCTAAAAACAACGTCAAAAGTTGTGAAATGTAGACACCAAAGGCTGGCTCTGATGGAATAGTGCTCGACATTAAAAGAGAGTTGGCCATTAGAAAGTTGAATTAACCCCTCTTGTCCCTCAAATAGCCCTGTGCAGAGGTTTTGTCAGTCTGAATCTTTATTCATTATTATAGATCTAAATATGAAACAGATAAGGCTCCTTTATGTCTAGTTCAGGTAGATAAATCGATGGAAGCGAATTGGCTATTTGATGCTTATTGAATAATATCAGATCACCGACATACCTGAAGCTTTATTAAACTTCTTTGCTGCCTTGTTTTGACTTTGCCACTTCGAGCATTCCAATTCATATCATGCATAAAGAAACAGATCATGAAGAAGGGGAGCTCAACTGTTGCCCATGGGAATGTCTTCTTGCGTAAATGTCTTACCCCAAAGTTTTACATAGATGTTATCAGTGAGGAAGTCCACCATTTCACATATTTGAAAGAGCATGCCCAATTGTACCCCAAGACTTGTGAAATGTAGACACCAAAGGTTTGAACTTCTGCAATATTGCTCGACATATAGTGGAAGTTGACTATTGGAAAGTTGAAGTTACCCGTCTTGTCATCCAGCCTTGAGAGTTATTTGCACTCTGAATAATTGTGCATAGATCTAAATATGAAACAGACGAGGCGGTCTAACTGGTCTCCTTTATGTCTAGTTCAGGTGGGTAAATCGGTTGAAGACACACACACACATACCTTCTTCTAGCGGCATAAAAATCTCTCGTTGTTTCATTACCTCTCTGCAAATGTGATTAAATCTAGATCTACTCAGTCGCTTGAAAACTACTTCAACAAGTTACTTTTCTTATAATACGTCCAACCCATTTTTATATCATCTTGCTTTAAAGATTCAATGAAACATTTGAACACGTGAAAAGTAACAAAAGTTTCCTCGATTTCACAACAGTTGCACGCCCCACATTCAGGCTACCTGTGTTCGATTTGTTTTAATTCACAAAAGGGTTTTCATGTGATGTTAGTCTCTTAAACAACACTCCCCGGTTGCAATAAAGATAAGTGAATATTGGTTCAAATCAATCACAGCCTGGTCATGAAACCACTATTACCATCAAATTCCCTGTGTATATAAAGGTGTGCACTGGGATCTTGGGACAGGGACGAGTGGGCCCACGTTTCAATACTGTACAACGCGATACTAGCTGAAGACATGGGTGATTGCATGAAGTACTTCGTATTGTTGGCGGGTATGTTATATTTCTTATAACTACATACTGTAGTGAGGCATTGAACTATCATATCATGCTGTCAGCAGGTGTGTTATATTTCTTATTAATACATGCATTCGTAAGGCATTGTACTATCATATCATGCTGTCAGCAGGTGTGTTATATTTCTTATTAATACATGCATTCGTAAGGCATTGTACTATCATATCATGCTGTCAGCAGGTGTGTTATATTTCTTATTAATACATGCATTCGTAAGGCATTGTACTATCATATCATGCTGTCAGCAGGTATGTTCTATTCCTTATTAATACATGCATTCGTAAGGCATTGTACTATCATATCATGCTGTCAGCAGGTATGTTATATTTCATTTTAATACATGCATTCGTAAGGCATTGTACTATCATATCATGCTGTCAGCAGGTATGTTCTATTCCTTATTAATACATGCATTCGCAAGGCATTGTACTATCATATCATGCTGTCAGCAGGTATGTTATATTTCTTATTAATACATGCATTCGTAAGGCTTTGTTCCATCATATCATGCTGTCAGCAGGTATGTTCTATTTCTTATTAATGCAGGCATTCGCAAGGCATTGTACTATCATATCATGTTGTCAGCAGGTATGTTCTATTTCTTATTAATGCAGGCATTCGTAAGGTTTTGTACTATCATATCATGCTGTCAGCAGGTATGTTATATGTCCTATAGCTACACGCAGTAATAAGGCATATCAAGTTGTTGGCGGGTATGTTATATTTCTCATTATAACACTCCCGTGACGATATTACCCGTTTAATAACAACAAGCTGTCGTTACACAGTGTTTAATACTAAACGCGTGCTTATGTACTGCGGGAACAAGTTTCACTAGCAAATATTGAAAACTCTCATCATTCCTTGGCTAATTCAAAGACATTGCGTGCAGAAATGATAGATCATTGAAAGGAGCTTAAGCTCAATCGATGACCCCAGCAACCCTTTTGCTAGACTGACGTCAGATGGCATTGTTTTGGGCGTGTGTCCTGCAACAAAACTTCACAAAATACGTCATAGTGTATTGTGATGTGATTATAAACTTTGTTGTGCAGGACCCCGTTCCAAAGGGCGACCATAGCGCTACGATAGCTTTGTGAAACGGACACTGAATTTTAAAGGTTGGCCGTTGTACGGTATTAAATTAAGATGTGTCAACTTTTGACGCGTTTGAAGTATTATTCTGTTAAAGTCATTCGAATTATGATGTAAATCGCGTATCTCCTGCCTATTCACACACGACATGGGTGTGTTATATTTCTCATTGCTACATGTATTACTAAGGCCTTGTACCCTCATATCATGCTGTTGGCGGGTATGTTATATTTCTTATTGCTGCATGCATTAGGACCCGTGAAGACCCGGGGTCGAATAGGTCTTCAGCAACCCATGCTTGCCGTGAAAGGAGACTATACTTGTCGTAAAAGACGACTAACGGGATCGGTGGTCAGGCTATCTGACATGGTTGATGCATGGCATCGGATCTTAATTGCGTGGATCGATGCTCATGATGTTAATCACTAGATTGTCTGGTCCAGACACGATTATTTACAGACCGTAGCTGGAATATTGGTGAGTGCGGCGTTCAACAAACAAACAAACAAACAAACAACATGCATTGGTAAGGCAGTGTACTATCATATCATGTTGACGGGAGCATTATATTTCTCATTTCTACGTCAGATACCAGAACTATTCACTCATTTAATAAAATTGGTATTACACGGTAGCTCGTTTAGTATTCTATATTTACTATGTGCATTAGTAGGCCTTGTACCATCATTTTAAGCTGGTGTATTATATTTGTATTGCAACATGCACTGGTAAGGCCTTGTACCATCATATCATGATGTTGGTGGGTGTGTTATATTCCTTATTGCTTCATGCATTAGTAACGAATCGTACCATCATGTCATGTTGTTGTTAACGAGAGATTACTATCAAACGATTCCGTTTAATTAGCGTTTGCCTGGTAATAATGAGGCGTTACTGCACAGGTAATACAGCCATTCAATTTGTCAACGACAAATACGTTTCTTGCTTACCTTTGATAGGGAAACAATTAAATGGAAACTAATTTATGTCGTCATGAAATCACTGACACCGTGGCTGGGCCGTTGTAACTTTAGCCTTTATTGTAGTCGCGGTACTCGTGTACTAAAACTGTTATGTTTTGTTGATTTGTCTACAAACTGCCTTTGTGAAAATATTACACTCGGCAAACTGCAGCACTTCACTCGATTTAATTTCATTTTGAATTGTAGCTCGTATAATATTCTATGAAGATTCATATGGCGGTGGAGCTTGTGTATCATCTCCGTGCTCCTACATGTTATATACCTACTCGCCTTTTTACTTTAATCGCTCTGTTTTAAATCAGCTGTGTACAGGATCTGTCAAGGTGAGGACTGCAGCTGTCCTAGCACCATCTATCCTGTCTGTGGGGACGACGGCAACACCTACAACAATGAATGTTTGCTCTCCTGTGCCGGGTAGGTATACAACGTGTCTGGTCATGCCACATATTCCACATAGAATGAAGGAGTGAGTTGGGTTGAACAGTATTTCAGTCATGTCAATATGAGGGCAGTTACTTCTCTTAAAGGAGCCAGAATCCCACAATACAATATTCGTCCTGATTATGAAAATGGGTTTGTCAGCATTATAACGGTACTCTTGGGTTTCACTACGGCGGTAAATGTCTTCAGTTGAAACATCTTGCCTTCCACGTTACGCTGAACCGTCTAGATGTAACAGAATACTGCTAAAATCAATGCAAATCCCACATCATTTACAAACTCACATTTTAATTTAATCTTCGCCATGCTTGTGGTTTTGACACAGAGGTCCATCCATGTTACGACACGGAATATATAGAGGGGGTCATGGAAAATACAAAATTCTTTGGAATATGCCCTTTTACAGCGTCAGTCCTATCCAGACCAACATACCTGATCTTGTCCTTTTTGATAAATCCAATGACATTATTTATATCATTGAATTTTATGTCCCTTTTGGCACTAATTTGATTGACATGATTCAGGAAAAGCATGGCAAATATGCAGATCTTGCTTTCGAATGTCACACTTGCATCCCAAGTACCAAGTTGTCAGACTCCCCATTCTTCTCGGTGCCTTTGGTTTGGTACCTCCCAATCTGTTGACTGACATTGGGAGAGTACCCAAGTTTGTTGCCAGGAGTACAGCCCTACTGATTATCTGTGTAATGCAGAAGGCTGCTGTGTTAGAGAGTCTTCACATTCTCCAAAAAGTTCTGGGTGCGTTTGACAAGGCAGCACTTCCTGGGAGAAGTCCCATTCGCTGTCTGGTCTGAACCTAACCAGCCAGTCTGTGCCAGGATCACCCAAACCCTCTTTGTAGCATTCGAAATTTTAATCTGTAAAAATGATAATAATTATGCGGATCCGATGGTTCAATTTTCAGGTCTTTAAATTGTTTAGCAGTGCTTGATGTCACCTAAGCTAAACTACGTGTTTATCAGTGAGACCTTGGGAATTATATGGAGCGGTGATTCAGAATGGATATACTTGATCGGTATGGAAGATGATAAACACGTTTTCACCTGCACACGAGGAAATTAAACTAACAAACCCATTTCCATAATCACAAGGAATATTTGCCTAAAGCAGTGTCCACTGTACGACCCCGACTACATCAAAAGCATGTGTTTATGAATCATTACCAACTAGAGAAAACACTAGGTGTTTGACAAAAGGTTAGCGTATCCTGCACCACCAGCTGCACCTGTCATAAACACATGCAAAGCTAGTAAATTCATCACCTGAAAAAAACCCATGCAATTTTAAACTAAAAAAAACTGGAAACTGCGTTGGACATTAGTTTTGTCACTGAAGCTTCAAATTCAGAAATGACCTCCACATGCTTTGCTAAGGCATTGGATTTACGGCATTGCTTTTGAGCAAGAGTCGTCTGAAATCTTCGTATAGATTAACGTTATTCTCACTATAATTAATAGTGGATTCATAATGGATATGCGTAATCCATTGAGAAGATGATCAACAAGATTTTGCCAACCAAACATTCAACAAGCCCTGAAGGTATTTTTTCCTTTTTTACTTCAAAAGTGCGACGAAGGTGTCCGATGGGAGATGTCCCAAAGTTTGCGCCTGTCCACTTCTCCTTTCACCTGTCTGTGGCGATGATGGCGTGACTTATGATAACGAATGCCAACTGGAGTGTCAAGGGTGTGAACATTTGGCATGAGTGTTGTTGAAATTAGAAACACTTTACAAGAACTAATGTATACGATCATTTCACTGAGTTATTTATTCTTTACCTCAGTTAATGTCTTATTTTATTAACAAACCATCTTTGTTTCTTACCTTTACAATATCCATGTTAACGAATATCACTTTTAGATATTTGGCTTATGTTTCGCACCAACCAATGTATAAAACAGGGTTTGGTATCACTGTAACCTTAAAACTTTCTTAAATCGTTGATTCATAATGGTGGTATGTAGTCTGTTTAGAAGATGATAAATACGTCGTTATGTGAACATAAAGTAAAAGATGTCAAACGTCTACAACATAATAATATCTCTTTCAACTAACCTTTACTTTGTTCCTTCAAAAGTGCGACGAAGGTGTCCAATGGGCAGTGTACTGAAGTTTGCGCCTGTCCACGTCTCCTTTCACCTGTCTGTGGCGATGATGGCGTGACTTATGATAACGAATGCCAACTGGAGTGTCAAGGGTGTGTACATTTGAAAAAGTATTGTTAGAATTCGAAACAGATCACAAGAATTGATAAATGCGATCATTTCAATAAGTTATTTATTCTTTACCTCAGGTAATGTCTTATTTTATTAACAAACCATCTTTGTTTCTTACCTTTACAATATCCATGTTAACGGATATCATTTTTGGATATTTGGCTTATGTTTCGCACCAACCAATGTATAAAACAGGGTTTGGTATCACTGTGACCTAAGAACTTTCTTAAATCGTTGATTCATAATGGTGGTGAGTTGTCTGTTTAGAAGATGATAAATACGTCGTTATGTGAACATAAAGTAAAAGATGTCAAACGTCAACCACATAATATTACTTGAGATATTTCCTTCAATTAAACTGTACATTTGTGTTTTAATAGTGGAACGAAGGTGTCCAATGGGGGATGTCCCAAAGTTTGCGCCTGTCCACTTCTCCTTTCACCTGTCTGTGGCGATGATGGCGTGACTTATGATAACGAATGCCAACTGGAGTGTCAAGGGTGTGTACATTTGGCATGAGTGTTGTTGAAATTAGAAACACTTTACAAGAACTGATGAATACGATCATTTCAAGGAGTTATTTATTCTTTACCTCAGTTAATGTCTTATTTTTTTAACAAACCATCGTTGTTTTTTACCTTTACAATATCCATGTTAACGAATATCACTTTTAGATATTTGGCTTATGTTTCGCACCAACCAATGTATAAAACAGGGTTTGGTATCAATGTAACCTTAAAACTTTCTTAAATCGTTGATTCATAATGGTGGTATGTAGTCTGTTTAGAAGATGATAAATACGTCGTTATGTGAACATAAAGTAAAAGATGTCAAACGTCTACCACATAATAATATCTCTTTCAACTAACCTTTACTTTGTTCCTTCAACAGTGCGACGAAGGTGTCCAATGGGCAGTGTACTAAAGTTTGCGCCTGTCCACGTCTCCTTTCACCTGTCTGTGGCGATGATGGCGTGACTTATGATAACGAATGCCAACTGGAGTGTCAAGGGTGTGTACATTTGAAAAAGTATTGTTAGAATTCGAAACAGATCACAAGAATTGATAAATGCGATCATTTCAATAAGTTATTTATTCTTTACCTCAGGTAATGTCTTATTTTATTAACAAACCATCTTTGTTTCTATACCTTTACAATATCCATGTTAACGAATATCATTTTTGGATATTTGGCTTATGTTTCGCACCAACCAATGTATAAAACAGGGTTTGGTATCACTGTGACCTAAGACCTTTCTGAAATCGTTGATTCATAATGGTGGTGAGTTGTCTGTTTAGAAGATGATAAATACGTCGTTATGTGAACATAAAGTAAAAGATGTCAAACGTCAACCACATAATATTACTTGAGATATTTCCTTCAATTAAACTGTACATTTGTGCTTTTATAGTGGAACGAAGGTGTCCAATGGGGGATGTCCCAAAGTTTGCGCCTGTCCACTTCTCCTTTCACCTGTCTGTGGCGATGATGGCGTGACTTATGATAACGAATGCCAACTGGAGTGTCAAGGGTGTGTACATTTGGCATGAGTGTTGTTGAAATTAGAAACACTTTACAAGAACTGATGAATACGATCATTTCAAGGAGTTATTTATTCTTTACCTCAGTTAATGTCTTATTTTTTTAACAAACCATCTTTGTTTCTTACCTTTACAATATCCATGTTAACGAATATCACTTTTAGATATTTGGCTTATGTTTCGCACCAACCAATGTATAAAACAGGGTTTGGTATCAATGTAACCTTAAAACTTTCTTAAATCGTTGATTCATAATGGTGGTATGTAGTCTGTTTAGAAGATGATAAATACGTCGTTATGTGAACATAAAGTAAAAGATGTCAAACGTCTACCAGATAATAATATCTCTTTCAACTAACCTTTACTTTGTTCCTTCAACAGTGCGACGAAGGTGTCCAATGGGCAGTGTACTAAAGTTTGCGCCTGTCCACGTCTCCTTTCACCTGTCTGTGGCGATGATGGCATGACTTATGATAACGAATGCCAACTGGAGTGTCAAGGGTGTGTACATTTGAAAAAGTATTGTTAGAATTCGAAACAGATCACAAGAATTGATAAATGCGATCATTTCAATAAGTTATTTATTCTTTACCTCAGGTAATGTCTTATTTTATTAACAAACCATCTTTGTTTCTATACCTTTACAATATCCATGTTAACGAATATCATTTTTGGATATTTGGCTTATGTTTCGCACTAACCAATGTATAAAACAGGGTTTGGTATCACTGTGACCTAAGAACTTTCTGAAATCGTTGATTCATAATGGTGGTGAGTTGTCTGTTTAGAAGATGATAAATACGTCGTTATGTGAACATAAAGTAAAAGATGTCAAACGTCAACCACATAATATAACTTCAGATATTCCTTCAATTGAACTGTACATTTGTGCTTTAATAGTGCAACAAAGGTGTCCGATGGGAGATGTCCCAAAGTTTGCATCTGTCCACTTCTCCTTTCACCTGTCTGTGGCGATGATGGCGTGACTTATGATAACGAATGCCAACTGGAGTGTCAAGGGTGTGTACATTTGGCATGAGTGTTGTTGAAATTAGAAACACTTTACAAGAACTGATGAATACGATCATTTCAAGGAGTTATTTATTCTTTACCTCAGTTAATGTCTTATCTTATTAACAATTAATCCTTGTTTCTTTACTTTTACAAAATCCATGTTAACTGATATCATTTTTAGATATTTGGTTCATGCTTCATGCCAACCAATGTATAAAACAAGGTTTTGTATCACTGCAACCTTAGAACTTTCTTAAATCGTTGATTCAAAATGGTGGTGAGTTGTCTGTTTAGAAGATGATAAATACGTCGTTATGTGAACATAAAGAAAAAGATGTCAAACGTCTACCAGATAATAATAACTGAGGGATTTCCTTCAAATAAACTGTACATTTGTGTTTTAATAGTGGAACGAAGGTGTCCGATGGGGGATGTCCAAACGTTTGCGCCTGCCCACTTCTCCTTTCACCTGTCTGTGGCGATGATGGCGTGACTTATGATAACGAATGCCAACTGGAGTGTCAAGGGTGTGTACATTTGGCATGAGTGTTGTTGAAATTAGAATCACTTTACAAGAACTGATGAATACGATCATTTCAAGGAGTTATTTATCCTTTACCTCAGTTAATGTCTTATTTATTTAACAGATCATCTTTGTTTCTTTACCTTTACAATATCCATGTTAACGAATATCACTTTTAGATATTTAGCTTATGTTTCGCACCAACCAATGTATAAAACAAGGTTTTGTATCACTATAATCTTAGAACTTTCTTAAATCGTTGATTCATAATGGTGGTGTGTTGTCTGTTTTGGAGATGATAAATACGTTGTTATGTGAGCAAAAAGAAGAAGATGTCAAACGTCTACCAGATAATAATGTCTCTTTCAACTAACCTTTACTTTGTTCAATGAAAAGTGCGACGAAGGTGTCCAATGGGCAGTGTACTAAAGTTTGCGCCTGTCCACGTCTCCTTTCACCTGTCTGTGGCGATGATGGCGTGACTTATGATAACGAATGCCAACTGGAGTGTCAAGGGTGTGTACATTTGAAAAAGTATTGTTAGAATTCGAAACAGATCACAAGAACTGATAAATACGATCATTTCAATGGGTTATTTATTCTTTACCTCAGGTTATGTCTTATTTTTTTAACAAACCATCTTTGTTTCTTACCTTTACAATATCCATGTTAACGGATATCATTTTTGGATATTTGGCTTATGTTTCGCACCAACCAATGTATAAAACAGGGTTTGGTATCACTGTGACCTAAGAACTTTCTTAAATCGTTGATTCATAATGGTGGTGAGTTGTCTGTTTAGAAGATGATAAATACGTCGTTATGTGAACATAAAGTAAAAGATGTCAAACGTCTACCACATAATAATATCTCTTTCAACTAACCTTTACTTTGTTCCTTCAAAAGTGCGACGAAGGTGTCCAATGGGCAGTGTACTAAAGTTTGCGCCTGTCCACGTCTCCTTTCACCTGTCTTTGGCGATGATGGCGTGACTTATGATAACGAATGCCAACTGGAGTGTCAAGGGTGTGTACATTTGGCATGAGTGTTGTTGAAATTAGAAACACTTTACAAGAACTGATGTATACGATCATTTCAAGGTGTTATTTATTCTTTACCTCAGTTAATGTCTTATTTTTTTAACAAACCATCTTTGTTTCTTACCTTTACAATATCCATGTTAACGAATATCACTTTTAGATATTTGGCTTATGTTTCGCACCAACCAATGTATAAAACAGGGTTTGGTATCACTGTAACCTTAAAACTTTCTTAAATCGTTGATTCATAATGGTGGTATGTAGTCTGTTTAGAAGATGATAAATACGTCGTTATGTGAACATAAAGTAAAAGATGTCAAACGTCTACCACATAATAATATCTCTTTCAACTAACCTTTACTTTGTTCCTTCAAAAGTGCGACGAAGGTGTCCAATGGGCAGTGTACTAAAGTTTGCGCCTGTCCACGTCTCCTTTCACCTGTCTGTGGCGATGATGGCGTGACTTATGATAACGAATGCCAACTGGAGTGTCAAGGGTGTGTACATTTGAAAAAGTATTGTTAGAATTCGAAACAGATCACAAGAATTGATAAATGCGATCATTTCAATAAGTTATTTATTCTTTACCTCAGGTAATGTCTTATTTTATTAACAAACCATCTTTGTTTCTTACCTTTACAATATCCATGTTAACGGATATCATTTTTGGATATTTGGCTTATGTTTCGCACCAACCAATGTATAAAACAGGGTTTGGTATCACTGTGACCTAAGAACTTTCTTAAATCGTTGATTCATAATGGTGGTGAGTTGTCTGTTTAGAAGATGATAAATACGTCGTTATGTGAACATAAAGTAAAAGATGTCAAACGTCAACCACATAATATTACTTGAGATATTTCCTTCAATTAAACTGTACATTTGTGCTTTAATAGTGGAACGAAGGTGTCCAATGGGGGATGTCCCAAAGTTTGCGCCTGTCCACTTCTCCTTTCACCTGTCTGTGGCGATGATGGCGTGACTTATGATAACGAATGCCAACTGGAGTGTCAAGGGTGTGTACATTTGGCATGAGTGTTGTTGAAATTAGAAACACTTTACAAGAACTGATGAATACGATCATTTCAAGGAGTTATTTATTCTTTACCTCAGTTAATGTCTTATTTTTTTAACAAACCATCTTTGTTTCTTACCTTTACAATATCCATGTTAACGAATATCACTTTTAGATATTTGGCTTATGTTTCGCACCAACCAATGTATAAAACAGGGTTTCTTATAACTGTAACCTTAAAACTTTCTTAAATCGTTGATTCATAATGGTGGTGAGTTGTATGTTTAAGAGATGATAAATACGTTGTTATGTGAACATAAAGAAAAAATGTGAAACGTCTACCACATAATATTACTTCAGAGATTTCCTTCAATTAAATTGTACATTAATTTTGTGCTTTAATAGTGCAACGAAGGTGTCCGATGGGGGATGTCCCAAAGTTTGCATCTGTCCACTTCTCCTTTCACCTGTCTGTGGCGATGATGGCGTGACTTATGATAACGAATGCCAACTGGAGTGTCAAGGGTGTGTACATTTGGCATGAGTGTTGTTGAAATTAGAAACACTTTACAAGAACTGATGAATACGATCATTTCAAGGAGTTATTTATTCTTTACCTCAGTTAATGTCTTATCTTATTAACAATTAATCCTTGTTTCTTTACTTTTACAAAATCCATGTTAACTGATATCATTTTTAGATATTTGGTTCATGCTTCATGCCAACCAATGTATAAAACAAGGTTTTGTATCACTGCAACCTTAGAAGTTTCTTAAATCGTTGATTCAAAATGGTGGTGAGTTGTCTGTTTAGAAGATGATAAATACGTCGTTATGTGAACATAAAGAAAAAGATGTCAAACGTCTACCAGATAATAATAACTGAGGGATTTCCTTCAAATAAACTGTACATTTGTGTTTTAATAGTGGAACGAAGGTGTCCGATGGGGGATGTCCAAACGTTTGCGCCTGCCCACTTCTCCTTTCACCTGTCTGTGGCGATGATGGCGTGACTTATGATAACGAATGCCAACTGGAGTGTCAAGGGTGTGTACATTTGGCATGAGTGTTGTTGAAATTAGAGTCACTTTACAAGAACTGATGAATACGATCATTTCAAGGAGTTATTTATCCTTTACCTCAGTTAATGTCTTATTTATTTAACAGATCATCTTTGTTTCTTTACCTTTACAATATCCATGTTAACGGATATCACTTTTGGATATTTGGCTTATGTTTCGCACCAACCAATGTATAAAACAGGGTTTGGTATCACTGTGACCTAAGAACTTTCTTAAATCGTTGATTCATAATGGTGGTGTGTTGTCTGTTTTGGAGATGATAAATACGTTGTTATGTGAGCAAAAGGAAGAAGATGTCAAACGTCTACCAGATAATAATGTCTCTTTCAACTAACCTTTACTTTGTTCAATGAAAAGTGCGACGAAGGTGTCCAATGGGCAGTGTACTAAAGTTTGCGCCTGTCCACGTCTCCTTTCACCTGTCTGTGGCGATGATGGCGTGACTTATGATAACGAATGCAAACTGGAGTGTCAAGGGTGTGTACATTTGGAAAAGTATTGTTAGAATTCGAAACAGATCACAAGAACTGATAAATACGATCATTTCAATGGGTTATTTATTCTTTACCTCAGGTTATGTCTTATTTTTTTAACAAACCATCTTTGTTTCTTACCTTTACAATATCCATGTTAACGGATATCATTTTTGGATATTTGGCTTATGTTTCGCACCAACCAATGTATAAAACAGGGTTTGGTATCACTGTGACCTAAGAATTTTCTTAAATCGTTGATTCATAATGGTGGTGAGTTGTCTGTTTAGAAGATGATAAATACGTCGTTATGTGAACATAAAGTAAAAGATGTCAAACGTCAACCACATAATATTACTTCAGATATTTCCTTCAATTAAACTGTACATTTGTGCTTTAATAGTGGAACGAAGGTGTCCAATGGGGGATGTCCCAAAGTTTGCGCCTGTCCACTTCTCCTTTCACCTGTCTGTGGCGATGATGGCGTGACTTATGATAACGAATGCCAACTGGAGTGTCAAGGGTGTGTACATTTGGCATGAGTGTTGTTGAAATTAGAAACACTTTACAAGAACTGATGAATACGATCATTTCAAGGAGTTATGTATCCTTTACCTCAGTTAATGTCTTAATTTATTTACAATTAATCCTTGTTTCTTTACTTTTACAAAATCCATGTTAGCTGATATCATTTTTTAGATATTTGGTTCATGCTACATGCCAACCAATGTATAAAACAAGGTTTTGTATCACTGCAACCTTAGAACTTTCTTAAATCGTTGATTCATAATGGTGGTGAGTTGTCTGTTTAGAAGATGATAAATACGTTGTTATGTGAACATAAAGAAAAAGATGTCAAACGCCTACCAGATAATAATCCTTGAGGGATTTCCTTAAATTAAACTGTACATTTGTGTTTTAATAGTGGAACGAAGGTGTCCGATGGGGGATGTCCCAAAGTTTGCGCCTGTCCACTTCTCCTTTCACCTGTCTGTGGCGATGATGGCGTGACTTATGATAACGAATGCCAACTGGAGTGTCAAGGGTGTGTACATTTGGCATGAGTGTTGTTGAAATTAGAAACACTTTACAAGAACTGATGAATACGATCATTTCAATGAGTTATATATCCTTTACCTCAGTTAATGTCTTATTTTTTTAAACAAACCATCTTTGTTTCTTTACCTTTCCAATATCCATGTTAACGGATATCATTTTTAGATATTTGGCTTATGTTTCGCACCAACCAATGTATAAAACAGGGTTTCTTATAACTGTAACCTTAAAACTTTCTTAAATCGTTGATTCATAATGGTGGTGAGTTGTATGTTTAAGAGATGATAAATACGTTGTTATGTGAACATAAAGAAAAAAATGTGAAACGTCTACCACATAATATTACTTCAGAGATTTCCTTCAATTAAATTGTACATTAATTTTGTGCTTTAATAGTGCAACGAAGGTGTCCGATGGGGGATGTCCAAACGTTTGCGCCTGCCCACTTCTCCTTTCACCTGTCTGTGGCGATGATGGCGTGACTTATGATAACGAATGCCAACTGGAGTGTCAAGGGTGTGTACATTTGGCATGAGTGTTGTTGAAATTAGAATCACTTTACAAGAACTGATGAATACGATCATTTCAAGGAGTTATTTATCCTTTACCTCAGTTAATGTCTTATTTATTTAACAGATCATCTTTGTTTCTTTACCTTTACAATATCCATGTTAACGAATATCACTTTTAGATATTTAGCTTATGTTTCGCACCAACCAATGTATAAAACAAGGTTTTGTATCACTATAATCTTAGAACTTTCTTAAATCGTTGATTCATAATGGTGGTGTGTTGTCTGTTTTGGAGATGATAAATACGTTGTTATGTGAGCAAAAAGAAGAAGATGTCAAACGTCTACCAGATAATAATGTCTCTTTCAACTAACCTTTACTTTGTTCAATGAAAAGTGCGACGAAGGTGTCCAATGGGCAGTGTACTAAAGTTTGCGCCTGTCCACGTCTCCTTTCACCTGTCTGTGGCGATGATGGCGTGACTTATGATAACGAATGCCAACTGGAGTGTCAAGGGTGTGTACATTTGAAAAAGTATTGTTAGAATTCGAAACAGATCACAAGAACTGATAAATACGATCATTTCAATGGGTTATTTATTCTTTACCTCAGGTTATGTCTTATTTTTTTAACAAACCATCTTTGTTTCTTACCTTTACAATATCCATGTTAACGGATATCATTTTTGGATATTTGGCTTATGTTTCGCACCAACCAATGTATAAAACAGGGTTTGGTATCACTGTGACCTAAGAACTTTCTTAAATCGTTGATTCATAATGGTGGTGTGTTGTCTGTTTTGGAGATGATAAATACGTTGTTATGTGAGCAAAAGGAAGAAGATGTCAAACGTCTACCAGATAATAATGTCTCTTTCAACTAACCTTTACTTTGTTCAATGAAAAGTGCGACGAAGGTGTCCAATGGGCAGTGTACTAAAGTTTGCGCCTGTCCACGTCTCCTTTCACCTGTCTGTGGCGATGATGGCGTGACTTATGATAACGAATGCCAACTGGAGTGTCAAGGGTGTGTACATTTGGAAAAGTATTGTTAGAATTCGAAACAGATCACAAGAACTGATAAATACGATCATTTCAATGGGTTATTTATTCTTTACCTCAGGTTATGTCTTATTTTTTTAACAAACCATCTTTGTTTCTTACCTTTACAATATCCATGTTAACGGATATCATTTTTGGATATATGGCTTATGTTTCGCACCAACCAATGTATAAAACAGGGTTTGGTGTCACTGTGACCTAAGAATTTTCTTAAATCGTTGATTCATAATGGTGGTGAGTTGTCTGTTTAGAAGATGATAAATACGTCGTTATGTGAACATAAAGTAAAAGATGTCAAACGTCAACCACATAATATTACTTCAGATATTTCCTTCAATTAAACTGTACATTTGTGCTTTAATAGTGGAACGAAGGTGTCCAATGGGGGATGTCCCAAAGTTTGCGCCTGTCCACTTCTCCTTTCACCTGTCTGTGGCGATGATGGCGTGACTTATGATAACGAATGCCAACTGGAGTGTCAAGGGTGTGTACATTTGGCATGAGTGTTGTTGAAATTAGAAACACTTTACAAGAACTGATGAATACGATCATTTCAAGGAGTTATGTATCCTTTACCTCAGTTAATGTCTTAATTTATTTACAATTAATCCTTGTTTCTTTACTTTTACAAAATCCATGTTAGCTGATATCATTTTTTAGATATTTGGTTCATGCTACATGCCAACCAATGTATAAAACAAGGTTTTGTATCACTGCAACCTTAGAACTTTCTTAAATCGTTGATTCATAATGGTGGTGAGTTGTCTGTTTAGAAGATGATAAATACGTTGTTATGTGAACATAAAGAAAAAGATGTCAAACGCCTACCAGATAATAATCCTTGAGGGATTTCCTTAAATTAAACTGTACATTTGTGTTTTAATAGTGGAACGAAGGTGTCCGATGGGGGATGTCCCAAAGTTTGCGCCTGTCCACTTCTCCTTTCACCTGTCTGTGGCGATGATGGCGTGACTTATGATAACGAATGCCAACTGGAGTGTCAAGGGTGTGTACATTTGGCATGAGTGTTGTTGAAATTAGAAACACTTTACAAGAACTGATGAATACGATCATTTCAATGAGTTATATATCCTTTACCTCAGTTAATGTCTTATTTTTTTAAACAAACCATCTTTGTTTCTTTACCTTTCCAATATCCATGTTAACGGATATCATTTTTAGATATTTGGCTTATGTTTCGCACCAACCAATGTATAAAACAGGGTTTCTTATAACTGTAACCTTAAAACTTTCTTAAATCGTTGATTCATAATGGTGGTGAGTTGTATGTTTAAGAGATGATAAATACGTTGTTATGTGAACATAAAGAAAAAAATGTGAAACGTCTACCACATAATATTACTTCAGAGATTTCCTTCAATTAAATTGTACATTAATTTTGTGCTTTAATAGTGCAACGAAGGTGTCCGATGGGGGATGTCCCAAAGTTTGCATCTGTCCACTTCTCCTTTCACCTGTCTGTGGCGATGATGGCGTGACTTATGATAACGAATGCCAACTGGAGTGTCAAGGGTGTGTACATTTGGCATGAGTGTTGTTGAAATTAGAAACACTTTACAAGAACTGATGAATACGATCATTTCAAGGAGTTATTTATTCTTTACCTCAGTTAATGTCTTATCTTATTAACAATTAATCCTTGTTTCTTTACTTTTACAAAATCCATGTTAACTGATATCATTTTTAGATATTTGGTTCATGCTTCATGCCAACCAATGTATAAAACAAGGTTTTGTATCACTGCAACCTTAGAAGTTTCTTAAATCGTTGATTCAAAATGGTGGTGAGTTGTCTGTTTAGAAGATGATAAATACGTCGTTATGTGAACATAAAGAAAAAGATGTCAAACGTCTACCAGATAATAATAACTGAGGGATTTCCTTCAAATAAACTGTACATTTGTGTTTTAATAGTGGAACGAAGGTGTCCGATGGGGGATGTCCAAACGTTTGCGCCTGCCCACTTCTCCTTTCACCTGTCTGTGGCGATGATGGCGTGACTTATGATAACGAATGCCAACTGGAGTGTCAAGTGTGTGTACATTTGGCATGAGTGTTGTTGAAATTAGAATCACTTTACAAGAACTGATGAATACGATCATTTCAAGGAGTTATTTATCCTTTACCTCAGTTAATGTCTTATTTATTTAACAGATCATCTTTGTTGCTTTACCTTTACAATATCCATGTTAACGAATATCACTTTTAGATATTTAGCTTATGTTTCGCACCAACCAATGTATAAAACAAGGTTTTGTATCACTATAATCTTAGAACTTTCTTAAATCGTTGATTCATAATGGTGGTGTGTTGTCTGTTTTGGAGATGATAAATACGTTGTTATGTGAGCAAAAAGAAGAAGATGTCAAACGTCTACCAGATAATAATGTCTCTTTCAACTAACCTTTACTTTGTTCAATGAAAAGTGCGACGAAGGTGTCCAATGGGCAGTGTACTAAAGTTTGCGCCTGTCCACGTCTCCTTTCACCTGTCTGTGGCGATGATGGCGTGACTTATGATAACGAATGCCAACTGGAGTGTCAAGGGTGTGTACATTTGAAAAAGTATTGTTAGAATTCGAAACAGATCACAAGAACTGATAAATACGATCATTTCAATGGGTTATTTATTCTTTACCTCAGGTTATGTCTTATTTTTTTAACAAACCATCTTTGTTTCTTACCTTTACAATATCCATGTTAACGGATATCATTTTTGGATATTTGGCTTATGTTTCGCACCAACCAATGTATAAAACAGGGTTTGGTATCACTGTGACCTAAGAACTTTCTTAAATCGTTGATTCATAATGGTGGTGTGTTGTCTGTTTTGGAGATGATAAATACGTTGTTATGTGAGCAAAAAGAAGAAGATGTCAAACGTCTACCAGATAATAATGTCTCTTTCAACTAACCTTTACTTTGTTCAATGAAAAGTGCGACGAAGGTGTCCAATGGGCAGTGTACTAAAGTTTGCGCCTGTCCACGTCTCCTTTCACCTGTCTGTGGCGATGATGGCGTGACTTATGATAACGAATGCCAACTGGAGTGTCAAGGGTGTGTACATTTGGCATGAGTGTTGTTGAAATTAGAAACACTTTACAAGAACTGATGAATACGATCATTTCAAGGAGTTATGTATCCTTTACCTCAGTTAATGTCTTAATTTATTTACAATTAATCCTTGTTTCTTTACTTTTACAAAATCCATGTTAGCTGATATCATTTTTTAGATATTTGGTTCATGCTACATGCCAACCAATGTATAAAACAAGGTTTTGTATCACTGCAACCTTAGAACTTTCTTAAATCGTTGATTCATAATGGTGGTGAGTTGTCTGTTTAGAAGATGATAAATACGTCGTTATGTGAACATAAAGAAAAAGATGTCAAACGCCTACCAGATAATAATCCTTGAGGGATTTCCTTCAAATAAACTGTACATTTGTGTTTTAATAGTGGAACGAAGGTGTCCGATGGGGGATGTCCAAACGTTTGCGCCTGCCCACTTCTCCTTTCACCTGTCTGTGGCGATGATGGCGTGACTTATGATAACGAATGCCAACTGGAGTGTCAAGGGTGTGTACATTTGGCATGAGTGTTGTTGAAATTAGAATCACTTTACAAGAACTGATGAATACGATCATTTCAAGGAGTTATTTATCCTTTACCTCAGTTAATGTCTTATTTATTTAACAGATCATCTTTGTTTCTTTACCTTTACAATATCCATGTTAACGAATATCACTTTTAGATATTTAGCTTATGTTTCGCACCAACCAATGTATAAAACAAGGTTTTGTATCACTATAATCTTAGAACTTTCTTAAATCGTTGATTCATAATGGTGGTGTGTTGTCTGTTTTGGAGATGATAAATACGTTGTTATGTGAGCAAAAAGAAGAAGATGTCAAACGTCTACCAGATAATAATGTCTCTTTCAACTAACCTTTACTTTGTTCAATGAAAAGTGCGACGAAGGTGTCCAATGGGCAGTGTACTAAAGTTTGCGCCTGTCCACGTCTCCTTTCACCTGCCTGTGGCGATGATGGCGTGACTTATGATAACGAATGCCAACTGGAGTGTCAAGGGTGTGTACATTTGGCATGAGTGTTGTTGAAATTAGAAACACTTTACAAGAACTGATGAATACGATCATTTCAAGGAGTTATGTATCCTTTACCTCAGTTAATGTCTTAATTTATTTACAATTAATCCTTGTTTCTTTACTTTTACAAAATCCATGTTAGCTGATATCATTTTTTAGATATTTGGTTCATGCTACATGCCAACCAATGTATAAAACAAGGTTTTGTATCACTGCAACCTTAGAACTTTCTTAAATCGTTGATTCATAATGGTGGTGTGTTGTCTGTTTAGAAGATGATAAAAACGTCGTTATGTGAACATAAAGAAAAAGATGTCAAACGCCTACCAGATAATAATCCTTGAGGGATTTCCTTAAATTAAACTGTACATTTGTGTTTTAATAGTGGAACGAAGGTGTCCGATGGGGGATGTCCCAAAGTTTGCGCCTGTCCACTTCTCCTTTCACCTGTCTGTGGCGATGATGGCGTGACTTATGATAACGAATGCCAACTGGAGTGTCAAGGGTGTGTACATTTGGCATGAGTGTTGTTGAAATTAGAAACACTTTACAAGAACTGATGAATACGATCATTTCAATGAGTTATATATCCTTTACCTCAGTTAATGTCTTATTTTTTTAAACAAACCATCTTTGTTTCTCTACCTTTCCAATATCCATGTTAACGGATATCATTTTTAGATATTTGGCTTATGTTTCGCACCAACCAATGTATAAAACAGGGTTTCTTATAACTGTAACCTTAAAACTTTCTTAAATCGTTGATTCATAATGGTGGTGAGTTGTATGTTTAAGAGATGATAAATACGTTGTTATGTGAACATAAAGAAAAAATGTGAAACGTCTACCACATAATATTACTTCAGAGACTCCTTCAATTAAATTGTACATTAATTTTGTGCTTTAATAGTGCAACGAAGGTGTCCGATGGGGGATGTCCCAAAGTTTGCATCTGTCCACTTCTCCTTTCACCTGTCTGTGGCGATGATGGCGTGACTTATGATAACGAATGCCAACTGGAGTGTCAAGGGTGTGTACATTTGGCATGAGTGTTGTTGAAATTAGAAACACTTTACAAGAACTGATGAATACGATCATTTCAAGGAGTTATTTATTCTTTACCTCAGTTAATGTCTTATCTTATTAACAATTAATCCTTGTTTCTTTACTTTTACAAAATCCATGTTAACTGATATCATTTTTAGATATTTGGTTCATGCTTCATGCCAACCAATGTATAAAACAAGGTTTTGTATCACTGCAACCTTAGAAGTTTCTTAAATCGTTGATTCAAAATGGTGGTGAGTTGTCTGTTTAGAAGATGATAAATACGTCGTTATGTGAACATAAAGAAAAAGATGTCAAACGTCTACCAGATAATAATAACTGAGGGATTTCCTTCAAATAAACTGTACATTTGTGTTTTAATAGTGGAACGAAGGTGTCCGATGGGGGATGTCCAAACGTTTGCGCCTGCCCACTTCTCCTTTCACCTGTCTGTGGCGATGATGGCGTGACTTATGATAACGAATGCCAACTGGAGTGTCAAGGGTGTGTACATTTGGCATGAGTGTTGTTGAAATTAGAATCACTTTACAAGAACTGATGAATACGATCATTTCAAGGAGTTATTTATCCTTTACCTCAGTTAATGTCTTATTTATTTAACAGATCATCTTTGTTTCTTTACCTTTACAATATCCATGTTAACGAATATCACTTTAAGATATTAAGCTTATGTTTCGCACCAACCAATGTATAAAACAAGGTTTTGTATCACTATAATCTTAGAACTTTCTTAAATCGTTGATTCATAATGGTGGTGTGTTGTCTGTTTTGGAGATGATAAATACGTTGTTATGTGAGCAAAAAGAAGAAGATGTCAAACGTCTACCAGATAATAATGTCTCTTTCAACTAACCTTTACTTTGTTCAATGAAAAGTGCGACGAAGGTGTCCAATGGGCAGTGTACTAAAGTTTGCGCCTGTCCACGTCTCCTTTCACCTGTCTGTGGCGATGATGGCGTGACTTATGATAACGAATGCCAACTGGAGTGTCAAGGGTGTGTACATTTGAAAAAGTATTGTTAGAATTCGAAACAGATCACAAGAACTGATAAATACGATCATTTCAATGGGTTATTTATTCTTTACCTCAGGTTATGTCTTATTTTTTTAACAAACCATCTTTGTTTCTTACCTTTACAATATCCATGTTAACGGATATCATTTTTGGATATTTGGCTTATGTTTCGCACCAACCAATGTATAAAACAGGGTTTGGTATCACTGTGACCTAAGAACTTTCTTAAATCGTTGATTCATAATGGTGGTGTGTTGTCTGTTTTGGAGATGATAAATACGTTGTTATGTGAGCAAAAAGAAGAAGATGTCAAACGTCTACCAGATAATAATGTCTCTTTCAACTAACCTTTACTTTGTTCAATGAAAAGTGCGACGAAGGTGTCCAATGGGCAGTGTACTAAAGTTTGCATCTGTCCACGTCTCCTTTCACCTGTCTGTGGCGATGATGGCGTGACTTATGATAACGAATGCCAACTGGAGTGTCAAGGGTGTGTACATTTGGAAAAGTATTGTTAGAATTCGAAACAGATCACAAGAACTGATAAATACGATCATTTCAATGGGTTATTTATTCTTTACCTCAGGTTATGTCTTATTTTTTTAACAAACCATCTTTGTTTCTTACCTTTACAATATCCATGTTAACGGATATCATTTTTGGATATTTGGCTTATGTTTTAGCACCAACCAATGTATAAAACAGGGTTTGGTATCACTGTGACCTAAGAACTTTCTTAAATCGTTGATTCATAATGGTGGTGAGTTGTCTGTTTAGAAGATGATAAATACGTCGTTATGTGAACATAAAGTAAAAGATGTCAAACGTCTACCACATAATATTACTTGAGATATTTCCTTCAATTAAACTGTACATTTGTGCTTTAATAGTGGAACGAAGGTGTCCAATGGGGGATGTCCCAAAGTTTGCGCCTGTCCACTTCTCCTTTCACCTGTCTGTGGCGATGATGGCGTGACTTATGATAACGAATGCCAACTGGAGTGTCAAGGGTGTGTACATTTGGCATGAGTGTTGTTGAAATTAGAAACACTTTACAAGAACTGATGAATACGATCATTTCAAGGAGTTATGTATCCTTTACCTCAGTTAATGTCTTAATTTATTTACAATTAATCCTTGTTTCTTTACTTTTACAAAATCCATGTTAGCTGATATCATTTTTTAGATATTTGGTTCATGCTACATGCCAACCAATGTATAAAACAAGGTTTTGTATCACTGCAACCTTAGAACTTTCTTAAATCGTTGATTCATAATGGTGGTGAGTTGTCTGTTTAGAAGATGATAAATACGTCGTTATGTGAACATAAAGAAAAAGATGTCAAACGCCTACCAGATAATAATCCTTGAGGGATTTCCTTAAATTAAACTGTACATTTGTGTTTTAATAGTGGAACGAAGGTGTCCGATGGGGGATGTCCCAAAGTTTGCGCCTGTCCACTTCTCCTTTCACCTGTCTGTGGCGATGATGGCGTGACTTATGATAACGAATGCCAACTGGAGTGTCAAGGGTGTGTACATTTGGCATGAGTGTTGTTGAAATTAGAAACACTTTACAAGAACTGATGAATACGATCATTTCAATGAGTTATATATCCTTTACCTCAGTTAATGTCTTATTTTTTTAAACAAACCATCTTTGTTTCTTTACCTTTCCAATATCCATGTTAACGGATATCATTTTTAGATATTTGGCTTATGTTTCGCACCAACCAATGTATAAAACAGGGTTTCTTATAACTGTAACCTTAAAACTTTCTTAAATCGTTGATTCATAATGGTGGTGAGTTGTATGTCTAAGAGATGATAAATACGTTGTTATGTGAACATAAAGAAAAAATGTGAAACGTCTACCACATAATATTACTTCAGAGATTTCCTTCAATTAAATTGTACATTAATTTTGTGCTTTAATAGTGCAACGAAGGTGTCCGATGGGGGATGTCCCAAAGTTTGCATCTGTCCACTTCTCCTTTCACCTGTCTGTGGCGATGATGGCGTGACTTATGATAACGAATGCCAACTGGAGTGTCAAGGGTGTGTACATTTGGCATGAGTGTTGTTGAAATTAGAAACACTTTACAAGAACTGATGAATACGATCATTTCAAGGAGTTATTTATTCTTTACCTCAGTTAATGTCTTATCTTATTAACAATTAATCCTTGTTTCTTTACCTTTACAAAATCCATGTTAACTGATATCATTTTTAGATATTTGGTTCATGCTTCATGCCAACCAATGTATAAAACAAGGTTTTGTATCACTGCAACCTTAGAACTTTCTTAAATCGTTGATTCATAATGGTGGTGAGTTGTCTGTTTAGAAGATGATAAATACGTCGTTGTGTGAACATAAAGAAAAAGATGTCAAACGTCTACCAGATAATAATAACTGAGGGATTTCCTTCAAATAAACTGTACATTTGTGTTTTAATAGTGGAACGAAGGTGTCCGATGGGGGATGTCCAAACGTTTGCGCCTGCCCACTTCTCCTTTCACCTGTCTGTGGCGATGATGGCGTGACTTATGATAACGAATGCCAACTGGAGTGTCAAGGGTGTGTACATTTGGCATGAGTGTTGTTGAAATTAGAATCACTTTACAAGAACTGATGAATACGATCATTTCAAGGAGTTATTTATCCTTTACCTCAGTTAATGTCTTATTTATTTAACAGATCATCTTTGTTTCTTTACCTTTACAATATCCATGTTAACGAATATCACTTTTAGATATTTAGCTTATGTTTCGCACCAACCAATGTATAAAACAAGGTTTTGTATCACTATAATCTTAGAACTTTCTTAAATCGTTGATTCATAATGGTGGTGTGTTGTCTGTTTTGGAGATGATAAATACGTTGTTATGTGAGCAAAAAGAAGAAGATGTCAAACGTCTACCAGATAATAATGTCTCTTTCAACTAACCTTTACTTTGTTCAATGAAAAGTGCGACGAAGGTGTCCAATGGGCAGTGTACTAAAGTTTGCGCCTGTCCACGTCTCCTTTCACCTGTCTGTGGCGATGATGGCGTGACTTATGATAACGAATGCCAACTGGAGTGTCAAGGGTGTGTACATTTGGAAAAGTATTGTTAGAATTCGAAACAGATCACAAGAACTGATAAATACGATCATTTCAATGGGTTATTTATTCTTTACCTCAGGTTATGTCTTATTTTTTTAACAAACCATCTTTGTTTCTTACCTTTACAATATCCATGTTAACGGATATCATTTTTGGATATTTGGCTTATGTTTCGCACCAACCAATGTATAAAACAGGGTTTGGTATCACTGTGACCTAAGAACTTTCTTAAATCGTTGATTCATAATGGTGGTGAGTTGTCTGTTTAGAAGATGATAAATACGTCATTATGTGAACATAAAGTAAATGATGTCAAACGTCAACCACATAATATTACTTCAGAGATTTCCTTCAATTAAACTGTACATTTGTGCTTTAATAGTGGAACGAAGGTGTCCAATGGGGGATGTCCCAAAGTTTGCGCCTGTCCACTTCTCCTTTCACCTGTCTGTGGCGATGATGGCGTGACTTATGATAACGAATGCCAACTGGAGTGTCAAGGGTGTGTACATTTGGCATGAGTGTTGTTGAAATTAGAAACACTTTACAAGAACTGATGAATACGATCATTTCAAGGAGTTATGTATCCTTTACCTCAGTTAATGTCTTAATTTATTTACAATTAATCCTTGTTTCTTTACTTTTACAAAATCCATGTTAGCTGATATCATTTTTTAGATATTTGGTTCATGCTACATGCCAACCAATGTATAAAACAAGGTTTTGTATCACTGCAACCTTAGAACTTTCTTAAATCGTTGATTCATAATGGTGGTGAGTTGTCTGTTTAGAAGATGATAAATACGTCGTTATGTGAACATAAAGAAAAAGATGTCAAACGCCTACCAGATAATAATCCTTGAGGGATTTCCTTAAATTAAACTGTACATTTGTGTTTTAATAGTGGAACGAAGGTGTCCGATGGGGGATGTCCCAAAGTTTGCGCCTGTCCACTTCTCCTTTCACCTGTCTGTGGCGATGATGGCGTGACTTATGATAACGAATGCCAACTGGAGTGTCAAGGGTGTGTACATTTGGCATGAGTGTTGTTGAAATTAGAAACACTTTACAAGAACTGATGAATACGATCATTTCAATGAGTTATATATCCTTTACCTCAGTTAATGTCTTATTTTTTTAAACAAACCATCTTTGTTTCTTTACCTTTCCAATATCCATGTTAACGGATATCATTTTTAGATATTTGGCTTATGTTTCGCACCAACCAATGTATAAAACAGGGTTTCTTATAACTGTAACCTTAAAACTTTCTTAAATCGTTGATTCATAATGGTGGTGAGTTGTATGTTTAAGAGATGATAAATACGTTGTTATGTGAACATAAAGAAAAAATGTGAAACGTCTACCACATAATATTACTTCAGAGATTTCCTTCAATTAAATTGTACATTAATTTTGTGCTTTAATAGTGCAACGAAGGTGTCCGATGGGGGATGTCCCAAAGTTTGCATCTGTCCACTTCTCCTTTCACCTGTCTGTGGCGATGATGGCGTGACTTATGATAACGAATGCCAACTGGAGTGTCAAGGGTGTGTACATTTGGCATGAGTGTTGTTGAAATTAGAAACACTTTACAAGAACTGATGAATACGATCATTTCACTGAGTTATTTATCCTTTACCTCAGTTAATGTCTTATTTCATTTACAATTAATCCTTGTTTTTTACCTTTACAATATCCATGTTAACGGATATCATTTTTATCCCCCCGGCTTATAATGCGGGGGAATATAGAGATCAGCCAGTCTGTCCGTCTGTCCATCAGGCCGTCCGTAATCGTTCTCTTTTCCGGGGCAGAATTCCAAAACCATTCAGTGTATTTGATCGAAACTTGGCAAATCTATGAGGCACATACTGAAGTGGTGCCTTTTGATATTTTGGGATTTTTCTAATTTTAATTTTTTAAAATTTTTATGGAATGAAGTTGGACATAGACTCAATTGGGGATGGGGTTCGTTTCCGGGGCAGAATTCGAAAAGCATTCTGTGTATTTGATCGAAAGTTGGCAAAGTTATCAGGCACACACCGAAGTGGTGCCTTGTGATATTTTTTTTTTTACGAATTTTTATTTTTTACAATTTTTATTGAAAGAAGTTGGACCTAGACTCCATTGGGGAACGGGTTCGTTTCCGGGCCAGAATTCGAAAACCATTCAGTGGGTAAACAATGTATGCTTCTTAAAGAACATTCAACTGTTGACTCATTACAAACAGAATTGCACATTTACTAGTGGTTACTTTACAGACAGCTGCCGGGGGGATATGTCATCTTTCTTATGACTCTTGTTAGATATTTGGTTCATGCTTCATGCCAACCAATGTATAAAACAAGGTTTTGTAATACTATAACCTTAGAACTTTCTTAAATCGTTGATTCATAATGGTGGTGAGTTGTCTGTTTAGAAGATGATAAATACGTCGTTATGTGAACATAAAGTAAAAGATGTCAAACGTCTACCACATAATAATATCTCTTTCAACTAACCTTTACTTTGTTCCTTCAAAAGTGCGACGAAGGTGTCCAATGGGCAGTGTACTAAAGTTTAAAAGATGTCAAACGTCTACCAGATAACAATCCCTGAGGGATTTCCTTCAATTAAACTGTACATTTGTGTTTTAATAGTGGAACGAAGGTGTCCAATGGGGGATGTCCCAAAGTTTGCGCCTGTCCACTTCTCCTTTCACCTGTCTGTGGCGATGATGGCGTGACTTATGATAACGAATGCCAACTGGAGTGTCAAGGGTGTGTACATTTGGCATGAGTGTTGTTGAAATTAGAAACACTTTACAAGAACTGATGAATACGATCATTTCAATGAGTTAATTATCCTTTACCTCAGTTAATGTCTTATTTTATCAACAATTAATCCTTGTTTCTTTACCTTTAAAATATCCATGTTAACGGCTATAATTTTTAGATATTTGGTCTATGCTTCACGCCAACCAATGTATAAAACAAGGTTTTGTATCACTGTAACCTTAGAACTTTCTTAAATCGTTGATTCATATTGGTGGTGTGTAGTCGGTTTAGAAGGTTTAAAGACAAATCAGACGTCAATCGCATAATAATATCTAAGGGTGTTCCTTCAATTGAACATTACAACGAAGGTGTCAGATTGGAAGTTTGTGCCTGTCCACTTCTCCTTTCACCTGTCTGTGGCGATGATGGCGTGACTTATGACAAAACCATTTCCATATTCATCATAAATCTCTGCCACTAATAACCTATTACCATGTTTTCTTTATTACTCTATTCTTGTTTAATGACACCCTGGTCGCTCGAGTTCAGCTGCATGACACTGAATTTTGTTTTGTTGAATTACAAGGGGTATATGTTTCCTTTACAATGATTGAAAACCGATGTCAGAGGGGTGACAGAAAATGTATGAGCCTAACTACACGTATGATGGCCTGAGCAGCACACTTTTACCCTTTTCGTGAACACTTGGTGTCATCACTGCTTTTCAATGATCTATTCACACCATTTTCACCACAAATTTACTTTTTACGCCAAATGGAATCAGTTTCGGCAGATACTCTGGTTGTTCACTCGCCTTAACATTTTATATCATTTTGATGGAGTGCATTGCTAATTCAATATAATTGATAGGTAATGATCGAACATAAAATGTTCAATATAGTCCTCCCAGGGTCCACACAATTTTGTCAACAATGCTGCTCTTCCATTGGTGTAGAAAGCTTCCTTTTGGTGGTGTAAAATATCCTCTACAGCAGTTGGATGATGCTTGCCAGACAGTTCTTCCTTCAGGTTTCGGAAGAAGTGAAAATGTGACGGTGCCAAGTATGGTGAATACGCAGGATGTTCAAAGCTACAGTCATGCACTGCAGCCATGCCAACAGACGTGTGTGCACATGTGCATTGTCCTGGTGGAACATTATACCTTCCACGACGTTTTGACTTTGTATTCTCACGCAGTTGCCTTTGCAGATTAGCATAATATTGGCCGTTAGTGGGCTAATCTTTCGGAAGATTTCGGCTAATCTTTCGGAAGATTAGTCCTCTGGTAGAATTTCTTTGCAATCACAGAAAACACAGTCTCACCTTCGCAGCTGATGGCATAGATTTGCCGTCTTCGTTGGAGGATGCTTCCTTTGCGATGACTGTTGTTCTGCCTGTGGTTAATGGTGGTGAGCTCATCCATGGTTACAACTCGCTCACAACAATATCTGCTGCCTTAAAACGATGTTAAATCTGACGAGAGATGATGAGTCCAGAGCGTTTCTGATCAGGAGCCAGAAGCCTTGGAACCCAATGTACTGAATCTTTTGTCATGCTCATTTCATTCCTCGGACATGCCTGCTGTATTGGGTGTGTGACGTGTGGTGATATCATATAACTATAATGATATCATGTATATATTAACATTTTCCTTAATAATTTATAATGCGCCAGATTCCATCCACCAAGTGGATGCTCAAATTGCTACACTATTTATTACCCCGGTGGTCAAAGGATCAAAGTGCACTCGATTTTCATTCTCATCTCCCTGGGGAGTATACAACCCGAGCTGCTTGTGAGGCGCTAGAAGGTTAACAGCCACATTACCTTCTCATGCTACCGGGTATCCACTCACTGCTGGGTGAACAGAGGCACATTTCGAACAAAGTCACTTGCTTAAGGAGACACCACATGTGGTACATGTGCTTCAGTGTGGGGTAGGACCGAATCCCTAGAAAATCCCAGGAGTCAAGCTGCTTAACGTGGTCACCCATCCAACTACTCTCCGAGACCGACGTTGCTTAATTTCACCTGATTTGTGATCTGTGCGCTGTGCACAGGACCACAGGACCACGTGCTACTACACCTTAGTCGGGGTACTAGTATGTGAAGGTTTACGGGTATTGGATAATCTTCGTCCTCCCCTCTTGAACTAACCTCCTAACAGAAGGAAGTCAAAGAATAATAGATGGCGGCCCGGTAACCAGATCTGTACATTTCCATCAACAGAAAATGCCTAGTCACTGTACTTATTACATGTAAACTGTTATGGGTGTACTTTACATCCTTAGGTAGGCTCAGAACGTTCAGCCACCCCTCGTATTTGTCTCATGTAAACTCACTTTCCATTTGTGTTATGACATACACGTATACACGATATTACACATATGACACTATGCTGTTTGAGAATGAAATAATAAAACATCCGATTTTTACCTACCCACCTGGCAACTTTGTTACGTTATATTCATTTTCAATAAACCGCTTTAGAAGTCACACAAACTATAGTACACCGTTAGGGCAACAATAAGAAGGCAGTGAAGTAGATCAATCATGGATAAAGAGTTGGATCACCACGCTGACATCCTTGGTTCATGTGTGAAGACTATTCTTGACGTCCCACGCCTTCAATAAGTTGGACTTTCAGCAATATTGACTCACCAATTTGAACCGTATTATTTTGAATGTAAATGTATCTTTGTACTTGAACACATGTTGTTTTAGTGGTGTGAGTAAAGTACGATGCCAAGTGACAAACCCAACTCGTCCAGAGGACTGCAAGTGTCCAACACGATTCAGACCTGTGTGTGGAGATGACAACAAGACGTACCGTAATGCGTGCTTCCTGCAGTGTTTGTCGTAAGTATATAACCGAGCCAATACACACACCAGATTTTTAACGCCACACATGTATATTCTAGCGATGTAACAAATAATCGAGTCTGGACCAGACAAACCAGCCATTGATGGTTAACCTATTATTATTATTATTATTATTATTGATATTAAACATATTTTATTGTCCCAAAAGACAAAGGGATTGGGCACAAGTACAGCACTTATTACCACCTTCTCTCTATATACAGTTATACATAATATTGCATAATGAAAATGAACAATTTACAGTTGAAGCTTCACATTGCGGTTAACCTATCAAGTCAAGTATTTGATCCCAAACGAGTAAAATATCTCTGGCACGTTCTCCATAACTGATAACTCTGAGTGTAGACATATTATGCAAAACTATTTTAAACCCCAGCTTACTCACTTAATATTTAGGCTGCAAACACATGAAAGTATACTGGCCTGAGTTTAACCTGGCTTTTATTATATTTATTTTTGATGTTTGACCAGGAGCGGCCACTTAGCCCGTCGTGGGGTCTGTCGCGGTGACAGGTTCAGAGACCTCGTCCCTCGGTTTCGTCTCCATCCTGAGACGAGGGGAAGAATCATACACTAAAATTTGAAAAGTAAGAACAGTCCTTGTACAGTCAGTATATTGTTTGTTTTTAATTTGAGAAAGAAATGACTCTATGCGTGGTCTCTTTAGTTATGTATGTTCTTTTCAATTAGAAATGCTTGTACAAAGTTATGAGGGAATAACATTGTAGAATCAATGTCGAATTGTGTGAAAGTCATTCAGTGTCAATTTGAGAAAATATGTGTATTCCATTTCAGGCGAATGCTGATATCTGCAGGATTGTCAGATGCACATGATTGAGAGAAGATGCTCAGAGATGTTGAATATATTCTAAGTTTTTCGGAAATTGATTCTTTTAAGAGAATTCTACATAAAATCCAGCTTGAAATACATGGAGGGGGTGGTTCGAAATATTGCAATCAATAAATTACTGTTACTCCAATCAGTCACTGCTTTGTATTCACAATAAACTTCAAAACAAACCGTCTTGTATTTTAGTCGTTGTTTTTTCACCTGGAAATAAAATACATATGCAGAACCTATTTTATGCCCCTCGAAAAGATATGAAACAATTGTTGCTATCAATAGATTCTAGCACGATTAATTTGGCTAGCAACAGAAGCATAACTCTCGAAATCATGAATACTTTACCATATGTATAACATGATGCACACGTTTATACCGTCAACTCGACTCAGCATTCTGCAGTGAGTGAATGAGTTTGGTTTTACGTCGCTTTTAGCATTATTCCAGCAATATCACTACGGGGGACACCAGAAATGGGATTCACATATTGTACCCATGTCGGGAATCGAACCCGGTTCTTCGGCGTGACGAGCGAACGCTTTCACCACTAGGCTACCCGACCTCCCTCAGCATCCTTCAGCAGTTTACACTATTATAACAGTTTAAACATACATAGTTCATGTAAACAATACTACCTCGACGCTGGAAGACAGAGGTAATACCATGCTCCGCATTCGTACCATTCACACGCATGAATGCACTAACTAATTCACGCACTAATTCACCTGCAAATGCACGAGGACATATGGTACAAGTAAAAATGCAGTATTGCTTCGGACATCATTTTTGAAAAGTCCCCCACATGTCTGCCATAAAACCGTTTTGAAAGCTTGATTGGGGGTTTAAATGTAGGCTGCTGGAATATTTCTCACATAATGGGAATGCTGACTATTGGAAATATGAAGTCATCCCTCGAGTCATACAGCCTTTTGGATCACTTTGTATCACTCTTAAACCTGAAGATATGTCCTTTCCATTCCCCCTTTGTATTGGAATCCAAACCTCCATAGAAAACCGTAGAAAGAGATATGTTGTTGTGTCCAGCAAATCGGCGTGATGACCCCACACTTCAACCACTGAGCTACTAAATGTGTGACCTAAATACGTAATTGGAATAAACCCATTCTGTCCCAGCCAGCTGTCATCCAAAGTCTGGCTGCTCTACAGGAAAAGTTTGCAGTTTTTCCCACTGACAAGACCTCAAATAACATAACCATTACATGTAAGGATCAATACTTTAATTGTTTGATCAAAGAACTTGGTGAAAATGACATATCAAATAATGCCACATATCAGGCCAGTATGTTAACTGAGGAAGCAATCTGCCTGAACCATAAATAAGTACTGTCAACTTTGGAGTCAACTGAAGAAACGTCCAGTCCTCTTTTGTACTGGATTCCAAAGCTCCATAGAAATCCATACAAAGAGAGATATATTGCTTGGTCCAGCAAATGTACCACCAAATCCATGTCTCAAAGACTACACGTAATCCTTAATACAATCAAGGAAGGACTTTCTTTATATTCACAGAAAGTATTCGAGACAAGTGGAATACCGTGTAGATTCTCAAAAAGTCAAAGAATTTGCTGGAGTGTTTGAAATGTCATAACGAACTAAATTCGATTATGTCAAAAGATTTCATTGTTTAAACTTTGGCACTATGCCACACGACAAACTTAATACCTTGATCCATGGGACATTTGTTACAAGACGTGGTGACCACAGATACAGTTAAGTATCTATTTTCTGAGGTTCAGAACAATGTGTCCAAAATGAAAGCAAATGTCATCTGAAATTTATTGAGAAAACAATGTGTGAAATCCTGGACTTCCTCCGTGATATCATCTATGTGAAATTTGGGGGTAAGACATTTAGGCAAGACGAAGGCAGACCTCAGCACCAACTGTGCTCCCCTTCCTATTGATCTGTTTCTATATGCATATGAATCGGGATTTCTGCTCGGATTGGCAAAGTCGACACACACAAAATAATAACTATGCAAAGAAATTGAAAATGATGATGATGATGTACGACAGAAGGGATGATTTCGTTTTATCAATCGTGAATGTCCTCTTCATGTCGAGTAATATACTATCAGCTTTAGCTTATGTTATATACACTTATACACTTCCCAATTGCTTTGGCGCTTGAGATTATGTACATATAATTCAACTTTCATGGAAATACACAGTTTGCTTAGAGCTAAGCCTATCAGTCGAGGTTTCCCCCATAAAGGCCTGCTAAAGTTATTCAAGAAATTTTAAGGTGGACATTCAGAGGATTTTAGATTGTGACACGTCGCTTGTCAAGAAGATGAACAAAGCTATCCCATACTTTGACCGTTACAAGGAGTTTCCACTCCTCTTTACTCACTGGCACTTACTTAATGGATCGAGTGGACAAGCTTGGTGTCGGAACCCAACGACGTGGAACATTGCTGATGATATCAATCACTGGGTTGTCGATAACGTGCAGGCCGATGCGTATAACAGGAATATTGCTGGGCCCGTCGTTTTAAACACATTTTAATGAAAATTATGTGATGTCTGGTGCTACACCCAGGACATGCTTACCCTTTTCGCGAACCCCTGATCAGTGATCCATTCATATAATTGTCATGACAATTATGCCTTTAACGCCTTGTGGAATATGTGTCAGCAGATAATCGAAATTAATTATTTTTTATCGTTGACATTATGAATATCAGTTAATCAAATCATGAGGTAAGAGTGAGAGTGTTTTACGCCGCTGTTGCAATATTCAAGCAATATCACATATTGTACCCATTTTGGGAATCGCACCCGGGTCTTTTGCGTGACGAGGGAACGCTTTAACCATTGGGATATCCCACCGTCGCCATGAGGTAAGACACCATCGGCTATTCTCACTGTTTACACACACTATAAGAGCTCACTTCTCCAAATACGAGTTCCTAGTTGTATAGTACATGTACCTGTTTCACCCAATGGGGAAATCTAGGATGACCACAGAGGAAATATATTTCCTCATCAGGAAATAGTTGTAGCTGCACTTTTCTTTTGTAAAAGTAAGCACTCTGCAAACTTACGGGGATTAAATGAGGCCTTACCGTTCTGAGAAATAAGAAGGAATTTATGAACGTAGGCTAAAAGTAGAGTTAGTCAGTGAGTAAGTGAGTGAGTATGGTTTTACGCCGCTTTTAGCAATACTCCAGCAATATCACGGCGGGGGACACCAGAAATGGGCTTCACACATTGTGCTCATGTGTGGAATCGAACCATGGTCTTCAGCGTGACGAGCGAACGCTTTAACCACTAGGCTACCCCACCGCCCACTAAAAGTAAGATTAATATACCCTCGGCAATGAACGTTGAGTATTTCCACTCAATATTAAAAAGACAGTTAGTAGTTGTTAATCCATGACAAGAGTCTTAGGCTATCTGCCGTATTCAGCTATATAGCGGGCTGTAAATAATCGAGTCTGTACCAGACAATCCAGTGATTGACATCATGAGCGTCGATCATGGGTTGCTGAAGACCAATTCTAACCTGGATCGTCACTGGGGACAAGCGTGGGTTGCTGAAGACCTATTCTAATTCTAATCTGTATGGGTCAATGATGAGGGTGGGTTTGGTTTAACGCTGTTTAAGCCATAGTTCAGCTTTATTGTGAGACGAAACTAAATCCTAAATCACTGGGCCACTCGTGACCCATCGAAACTGAAAAGCCAATATTCATATATTCTTCTTTGAAACCTGGTGGTGTGAACAGGTGACAAGCCTAACCACGTGGCTTAATCGACTCTGCTTTTAGCTATTTCCTATGAATATTATTATTAGTATTATTACAGGGATGTCAAATCTCCGCGGAAACGCGGAAAATCGCGTTTTTTAAAACAGTAGTCCTCGGAAAAACTCATCTTCCGCGTAAAAACATAATGAAAGATTTAAAAAAGATTCACCGAAAGATATGATCGTGTTTCCCGACAACCGTCGCGGATTGTCCTGTTTTCGAGCAGAACTTTCAATATCATATATGCCTTTACTATTATTCATGACACATACGTTTTCTATCACGAATACTTGCACTATAACGTGGGGTGTGGCGTCACACAGATACATGTAAATACTCAGAAGATGGCTTGTTTTTAAGATAAAGTTGTCTTTTAGCCTATAGGAGAATGAGATGTTTTACAGTTATTCATGTGATTAGCGAGAAAACTATGAATGTTTTTTCAGCGTCCGAAAACCCATAACACGGGGATATATGTTGTATTAATGTCTTATGTTTGCAATGTTGCTTTGTTTTTTTTCAAGGTAGTACAAGGTAAATTTCTTTTCAATATGCTTCAACATGGGGAAAGGGTCAGACATTGCCCGCTTGTGACAGTTGTCCTTGTGTCTGGGGGATGGGGGGTGAGGTTCATGGCAGTATTGCTCCCAAATCCGGCGGGTAGCCGGGTGCGCAGAGGTTATGCCCGATTTTTAAAAGTTCTGATTAAACTTTGAAATTTTACTGGATCCGCCATCTTTGTTTATTTGACTTGACGTTTGCCATTGACTTATAACATTTCTTGGTGTGAATGTTATCGAAACTGCACGAAATTGCGTAAAACGCAACCATATATATTATATAGAAAGGGTTTTGTCGATTGTATTATAATATTGTTTATTTTGGTGTGGCAATATTTGAATTCCTAATTTACTTGTTCTGATACCCACGCAGTCTTCCATGATTATCGTGTATGTGCGGAACGTTATTTAGACATTAAAACGTTTTATGTGTAAACTTCAGCCGAATATACATGAACCAATATTTTATCCAGAAGATACTTGAGATATTATTGACAAAGATAGTTCACTCGCACACACTAACACTGTTTTGTTTGTTTTGACCCATGGACGGTTTGTGAGTCAGAACAACACTTCATTTTATGATGGTAACCAAATATTGATCAACTGAATGAAAACATAATTAAAACAGTATAGATTCACCCATGTTTACACAAAGACAATGAAAGAGCAATACAATATCCTGCACAGCCATGGGCTATTTCCATACGGAATTAAATGTCTCTATGTCGAGCAATACCCGTCAGTGATCTGACTGAGACTTCATTTAAATGTAAATGATAATGTTAATAATGTAAATGATTTCACCTAAAATCTCGACCTAACGC